AACAATGGGAAACCTGCACAGCATGGGGATTTTCATGACAAGAAGTGCATACTAAATGCAATTTAATAACATACTAAATCAAATCAATAACACATCCAGAAATTCTTGAGTGGTTCACACCACTAGACATGTGTCATACCTCAGGAAGGGCTGAAGAATACACAAAACTATTGTTGAATGTTCATGTTTTGAATTTTTCATCACTGTTCCGAATATGTACTTGAATTTATTGATCCTTCGCTAAAGATTGCTGGAGTGCTGCAATTGTCTGCATACTGTATTTACTGTATAATATATATATATATATATATATATATATACACACACACACACACACACACTGTATTGCCAAAAGTATTGGGACACCCCTCCAAATCATTGGATTCAGGTGTTCCAATCACCTCCATGGCCACAGGTGTATAAAATCAAGCACCTAGGCATGCAGACTGCTTCTACAAACATTTGTGAAAGAATGGGTCGCTCTCAGGAGCTCAGTGAATTCAAGTGTGGTACCGTGATAGGTTGCCACCTGTGCAATAAGTCCATCTGTGAAATTTCCTTGCTATTAAATATTCCACGGTCAACTGTTAGTGGTATTATAACAAAGTGGAAGCAACTGGGAACAACAGCAACTCAGCTACAAAGTGGTAGGCCACGTAAAAGGACAGAGCGGGGTCAGTGTGCAGAAATTGTGAACTGTCTGCAGAGTCAATAGCTAAAGACCTCCAAACTTTATGTGGCCTTCAGATTAGCACAACAACAATGCATAGAGAGCTTCATGGAATGGATTTCCATGGCCGAGCTGCTCCATCCAGGCCTTACATCATCAAGTGCAATGCAAAGTGTTGGATGTAGTTTATACATATATATATTCAGTATCTATATTATCTATTTGGATCTATTTGTAGTTCAGCTTTAAAGCCAAACTCCTTTCACCTCCCTCTACCAACTGCTGGTATGAAAAAAATAAATGTCTATTTTCCGTGCTGTGATCACATGACAATCCTTCCCTCTTCCTGTTTACTTCATTTGATCCTTTTTTGGGTGTCCACATCACTGCCTGCATGATGTGATCACCTCCTATATACTTTCAGAGACTGGGTCCCCTCTCATAGGCTTCAGAGGCAGGAAAACTCACAGAGACAGTGAGAGGACCAGTGCTCATGGAGATAACAGGCAGGGAAAAATGTCTGGTCCCAAGGACAGGAAATTATATTTGGCCTATATCCTTTGGCTTTGACCCTTCACACTGCAGGATGGCATAGGAAGAGGTGTTTGTAATTAAAGTGGTTCTAAAACCAAACCATTTTTTACCTTAATGCAATCCCTGCATTAAGGTGAAAAACACCCCACTGCTTTTTCTGATGCCCCCCCCCCCCCCCAAATAAAATACCTGTCTCCTCTCACGATCCAGTGTTGTCCCCGTTGTCTCTCTTCCTGGATTGACAGGACCTTTGTGAGAGCAGTGGGAGCCATTTGTTCCTTCTGTTGTCAATCAAATCTTGTGAGGAGGGGCAGGTGGCATGGCATGCTGTGTATGTCTGTGGATGCAAACACCCCTTCATGAGTGCCCCCTCAGCACACTGCTTGCTATGGAGGCACCCACAGGAAGAAAGAGTAGAGGGCGCCGGTGACTCTAGAAGAGGAGGCAAGGGGCCACTCTGTGCAATATCATTGCATAGAACAGTAAATATAACATCTTTTTTATTTTAAAGCAAAACAAAATTTACTTTAAAGTATAACTTTTTTTAGCCCCCGCCCCCCACTGACTTTAGTGATTGCTGGCTATGATGGAGGAAAGAGTGGGAAGTTGTCTGCATGCACTACTTTTGGAAATGCACTTCAACCGTATAAATGTACAGTGCGATCTGGTGCAGGTAAACCCACTGCATTTGTGACCTGCGTTTGGGGTATCAATCACTAAAAGTTCACACCCGCTGCAGAGTGCAACTGCAGTGTATTTAGAACACGGTGTGGGAAACGCGTATGTAACGTGTACACCGCGTTCTAGTGGTAACCTAGCCTAAAAATCAAAATACCATTTGGCTTTCAAAATCCAAAGAGTTATGGATGTTCCCATTGTTTGAAGTAGCTGGTAAGATTAGCATGCCCATCTCATCCCAAATGTAAGTTTGTAAGAATTTCCATCCTCTAAGAAGCAGAGGTTTCTCCTATCCAGCTCATTTCCAAGCTGTGACATTTAAGGCTCTGTTTATCAAGCTGGGATTCTGTTGCTCTCTCCTTTTACACAGTCAGAGTGATAGTTTGCTGTAGCAGTGTCCCTGGGGCAAAGAACAAGAATTCAGATTCTGTTCCCAGCATTTGAATGCGAAGAGCTGACTAGATAATTAAACTCTATGTAACTCTGCATTCTGAAGTCTAAACATTTGCACAGCAGCGTTCATGTTCAGTTTTTGCTTTTACAATGTGATCATGGCTGATGATGGTTTGACTTCACTTTTTTACATTTGTTTATTCTGTAAAGGGGGTGAAGTAAATTTTTCTGTCTATGGGAACAGTCAGATATGTAAACAGCCCCTTGTGTGCTTCTTCTCCTCACTTGTGATGCAGCTGTACATATTTGTACAGCACAGTTCACTTGTCATACAAGTTGTCATAATTTGGTGAAAAAGATGCAACTTTAGGTTCTATTCAACACTTCCAGTTGCGGGAGTAGAAGGAGGTGGCACACGTATACCAAGCACTTCATCATAGCTTTCTTGTGAGTTGCCAATTTTTATCCTCAATATTTTGTCTATTGATTGCTGCACTTAGGTGGCGCTGCTTCTTTTTCTGTGGTTCCTCCTGAGTCCCTTCTCAATCTGGCATCCACTAAGTCAAGCAGCTTTGGAATTATAAAGTAAAAGACTGACACTTGAATTACATGAACTTCACCTCTGATTGTTTTTTATAAAAACTCTGGCTATATTTTATATCACTTTTGTATCACTGAACCGTTCCTCTTAGATTGTAAGCTCTAACGACCAGGACCCTCTGTTTCCTCTTGTACCAAATTGTATTGTAACTGTGATGTTTACCTTCATTTTGTAAAGCACTGCGCCAACTGTCGGTGCTATATAAATCCTGTAATAATAATAATAATAAAATACCATTGCTGTAATACCCACCCCAGCCTCTGAGGGCGCCAAATATCAACCTGTTTTTATCCAGTATCTTTGGGTGGAATTTATCACACGGGCAGCATATTGGCTAAATGGTTAGTACTTCCGCCTGGCAGTACTAGGGTCATTGGTTTGAATCCCAACCACAGCACCACCTGCCTGGAGTTTGCATGTTCTCCCTGTGCCTGCGTGGGTTTCCTCTGGGTACCCCGGTTTCCTCCTACACTCCAAAGACATTCTGGTAGATTAATTGGATCTTAACTAAATTGGCCCTAGTATGTGTATGAATGTAAGTTAGGGACCTTAGACTGTACACCCCCTTGAGGGTTAGGGACTGATGTGAATGTACAATATATATGTAAAGCACTGTGTGAATTGACAGAGCAATATAAGGGGACAGTAGGGGGCCCCATGAGATGCCCCTGGTACCTTTCATAGGCTTTTTTGGGAGTGGTTTGAGTGTGGGCAGGGACACAGGGGCCCCATGATCCCCAATTGTCCAGGGGCCCCATGAGTTGTCAGTCCGCCCCTGGGTGCTAGTAATTGCCACAGAGAGAGCATCATGCACTAAAGAAGTTTGATAGGTTGGAAATGTTTGCATGTTCCCCGTATGTTCTTGATTGATGAGAAAAGCCCCCACATAGATCATTAGCTACAGGATCTGATCCTATGTTCTAATGCCCTGTACCCAAGATTGTGGCCCAAGGGCTGCATGTGGTCCTTTGGTATATGATGTGTGGCCAGTGGCCCTTAGACCTCAGCAGTCTGTAGTGGGAACATTGGTTTGGGGTAATAGCACTGATCTCTACCAGCCTCATGTGACGTGGTCCTGGTTTCATATTGTCTTCTGCAACATGTCTCTAGGCCAAAAATGTTGCATGTGCACACTCTCTAGCTCTCATTTACTCCATAATGTCTGCATTCTGGCAGTCCTCTATGCTGAACATTATGTGTGGCCTTTTGCTGATGTCAGGGGCCGCAGTTGAGCCCCCTATAAGTCACTGTTTTAATGTCTCCTATTTTTGCTGGCCCCCACTGCCTTGACATTATTATCAATAAACTAACATACAAGAAGAGGACAAGCTTAGAGACGCCATGCAGTGGTTAAATAATGATGCTAATGATTCTTCGATTAGATTAAATGACATGATAATGACCTACAGGAAGTTCAGCATACTTTAGAATTTGAAGCGGACAGACACACAAGTCATAACATTTCCTCTTGCTCCATGATAGAATGTAGTAAAATGATTGTGTTTCCAAGGTAACTACCAAACAAATGGGGGAATACGAATATATTAGAATGAGTCACCTAACTAATCCCATCTACCGCCTGCCACAGTGCTTTTACAATATGCACAGCAATTTACTTTCTGAATGATAAATGCCAACCATTATTGTTATAATTTTAACAAACCACTACATTTACAATTACTAAGCTTAAGAAAACTTTCATTGTACTAGTCAGAACATGATATTGTTTAATAAAGCTGTTTACTAAGGTATAGGAGAACTAAATACACTGCTTTAACTTTCTAATAACAGTTACATAGAAGGAATGCCATAATTAACTGTCACAGTTGCTTGTGTTCTCACCTGAACCTTCAAGCCATCAAATGGCTGGGGTCATAACTGATCGCATGTGCAGCATCATGGCTACAATGGCAGCTTCCTTGACTGTAAAGGAGAGGAGGGCTTAGTACCGCTTTAAAACAATATCTAAAATATGGGAAGTAGTTATTCCCTAACAGAACTGCAGTTTAGTATTACTAATTTCTCAGATATCCCATTTAAAGCTCAAAGTGTTACTAAACCCAGGACCCTGCATTCATTATATCTGGTCTCCCACAGTACACAGAACATGGAAATGCAATTATTTTAGTAAATATAAACTGCTAAATACCTTTTCTCATCGGCAGTATATAGCAGTCTTGTGACTTCTATCAGTGTCAGCAGAACACTGGTTAAAGCTTGTAGGAGGAGTTTTCTCTTGGCGGATGTAGAACCCCTGACCTCTGTCTGAACAGTGCTGATTAGCCCTGTGCTGATCACATGCACTCTCCCAAGAAAAAAAAAAACCTCTCTAGCAATATATACCAAACTGAGCATTGTAGCTTGTAGGAGGAGTTTTCTCTTGGAAGATGTAGAACCCCTGACCTCTGTCTGAACAGTGCTGATTGGCCCTGTGATGATCACATGCACTCTCCCAAGAAAAAAAAAAACCTCTCTAGCAATACATACCAAACTGAGCATGTGCAGAGTGACTCCACACTATATGTTTTATCAGGAGATAAGAGGGGGACCCTGGAAGAAGGGGAGGATCAGAGAAAGCAGGATCAAACATCCTTTTTACACAATGCAGAAGATTAACCCCTTAAGTTCCACAGTGAGCATAACAAGTATGCTTTACTGCATACACAGACTGATTTTACTGTTGTGGGCTTAAAGTGACACTAAACAGCATCCTTTTTCTCCAAAAATGATCCAAATACATCTACTACTTAATGGCTTTGTAATCTATTTTTCATGAGATCATTTCTTGCTGATTTTTTTGCCTCCTTGTAATTTCTCCCATGAGCTCACAAACCTTTCCCTATCCTCCTCACTTCCATTTCTTTGGAGCAAGTAGCGCCTGTTAGTTGTGGTCATGTGCGATGCTCTATGCATACTAAAAATCCCAAAATCCAAAGTCCACAGTCCATCTCAGGAGTGAGCAAGAGAGGGTGGCTACATTCCTACATGAGGTGGGACAGTGAAAAATGAATGTAGCCACCCTCTAACAGGAGGTCAAATCACAGCACAAAAAAAAGAGTTTAGAGATCTGGAGGAGGCTGAGAGCAATAGAAGATGTACTTTTCTTGAACTGAAGTCATACATTTCAAGAAAAATTTGTTCTATATACAGTCTCTAAACAATGTTTTCAACAGCTCTGATTGGAAATTGCACGTCAACAGATTACAGGATGCTAGCAGTTATGGAAAAAGTGTATGTTCCATGAACTAACTGAAGCTCTGCAGTTAATAAGGGAACTTTCCACTGTTTGCTTGAGATGATTGTTCTCTCAAACATGAACCTGAGGGTAAAACACCTTACAAACAATGCCTCTCAGCAACACATTGTGTAATATAATGATCATCCCTGCCATAAACCTCACAACATATGGAGAGCTGAATAAGGATGGAAACCCATTCATTCTAAACTACTTACCATCTTTTTTCAATGCAATGCAATGCAATCCCATGCAAACATAATCTGAACATATTCAATGAATGTCAAATGCTTTTTCAAAGACTGTCCAAATCAATTCCTATTGTATACACAGTCAGCAGCAACAATATAGACAGTAGGTAGCAAGGGCACTACTTGGTTAATTTGATACTTTTTAAATATTTTAGATATTACAAGTTTTATTCAGTAATTGAATGCTATATATTATAATTCTTTATCCTCAATTTTAGGGGGTTACTACACTCAATGAGATAAATATGACTTATGGTATGGGGAGAATGGGAGAGTCACACTGAATACATTGTCCTTCTCATTTTCTCCAATAGTCACAAGTCAAGATTTAAATCTCATGTGAACGCTGAACTCAAAATGATGCCTTGCAGTAGGGCTGGTCCTGCGCTGCAAGTATTAACTGCTTGTTTAGATCTAAGCAACATACAAAAGATGATCTACTTACCTGATCCTTTGCTCCTCTGCACTGCTAGACTGCTCCCCACAGTGTATTCTTCTCCATGCTCGAGCAGTCTAAGGTCCTGACGTCATCAAGGCCAATGCAGGGTTCATAGCCCTGCATTGGATGTGAAAATGCAAAGGAAAGGACAGTCCACCACCAGAATGTGAGGAAGTGCTATCTGCCAGGGAAGCTGAGTTTCAGGTAAATTAAAGTGCTTTTACTCTGCCCTAGACTAAGCAAGCAGTTACCTCTTGCAGCACAAGCACAGCCCCACTGCAGGGGGGCAATCAATCAGCCCCACTGCAGGGGGGTAATCAGCAAATTTCCAAAGTTGGGCTTTAAGCCAGTTTCACAGAAAACAGATTAGCTGCTTAACAAAAACTAGATGGAATGCAGAGACATTATATACAATGGCCTTAAAAGGACTTCCAATGAGGCCCTGTCATCAGGCTTTTTTTCCCCTTTGTTTTCACCTGGTGATCTGGCCAGTAACACACCAGAGTGCCCCCACCCTGGATGAATGAGCACAGTGGGCACAACAGACAGCAGCATTGTCAGTCTGGGATGTGCTAGCAGATTTAGATACATTAACTGAAACCAAACTCCAGCTCACACTTTATTCTTATTTTATGTATTTCAGGTACATATATAGCTGTTTACGCAGCGTTTTACACATACATATATTTTGTACATTCACACCAGTCCCTAACCCTCAAGGAGGGTACAATCTAAGGTCCCTAACTTACATTCATACATACACATACTAGGGACAATTTAGACAGGAGCCATTTAACCTCCCAGCATGTCTATTTAGTGTGAGAGAAAACCAGAGTAGCCGGAGGAAACCCACACAGGCACAGGGAGAACATACAAGGTTGGGATTTGAAGCAATGACCCTAGTACTGCCAGGCAGAAGTGCTAACCATTTAGCCACTGTGCTGCCCATCGTTACAGCAAAAGCTTTTTTTTCCTTTCGGGATAGACTGTATACAAATAAATAAAAGCTGATCACTGTAAGCACCCCTGTCAGTGATAAATGGTTTATCTCAGCCCTCTAACTGCTACATCTGCAACATAGCTTTTTCTGCTGAAAAACAACAGACTTGCTGGATCCCCAGGTGAGAGTAGAAGAAAGAAAGCCTAAAAAAGAAAACTAATGCAGCCATCACATCGAACAATTGAAAAGCTGCAACATAATAAATGTTTGCTTTTATGTTTAAAATCATAGAAATAAAATGTAATTTTTGGGCTGACCCTTTTATTTATATTTATATACTCTGCAGTTTAATGAAAAATGAGTTAAAACTGCAACTCAATAAAAGGTTTTTAATCTGCAAGTTTGTCTAGATTTCACATTGTTATTAATAAGGCAGTTAGACAAATCAGCAACGATGGCAAACTATGATATAAGATAACGCTGTAATCGTCGCTAATCACTGCAGTTAAAACTGCACGTGGGTGTTTTCTGTAGTCATTAACTGCAGCTGTTTCTGAAAATAAACTAGAGAAGCGTATTACACAACACTTCTGTCCTGAAGTAATGCACATCTGAAAGTTACAGTGTCATTTTCTTTGCTGAGCTGATGATGTTGACATCAGCTCAATGATGTGTTGATTGCTTTCCCTTTGTCAGATAATCATAGAGGGGAGAAGGATCCAATTCAAGATCACTACTACAAGTGGATGACTTTTAGAGCCCATTCACACTTATGCGACTTGTCATATGACTTAGGGGTCCAAAGTCGCATGACAAGTCGCCCCCCATGTTTCCCAATGGGTACCAATCATATCTGTGTGACTTCAAGTCACAGCGACTTCGAAGTAGTTCCCCCACTACTTTGCTCCAACTTTCATGTGACTGGAGGGCCATAGACTTCAATGTAAACCCTCCAAAGTTGCATGAAATTAGCACCTGAATGTTGTTCATGCAACTTGTGTGCAACTTTGTACAGCAGAAACAATTATCTTTGGTCAAAGCCTAAGTCACACCAAAGTCGCACTGTAAAGTCACAATGTAAGTCGCAGGATTTTGAAGTCGCACAAGTGTGAATGGACTTTTAGGCCCCTTTCAGACAGGGCAGATTTTGTTCCAATCAGAAGGAGATCAGCACAGAGATTCCCTGCTGATTGGCGCAAAGCGGGCAGATGGCATATCCATGTCTGCTCAGTTTATGCAGAGCAGACATTTACAGCTCTATGGGTGGTTGGATGTAAACAGACTCCATCAAAAGGGAGGAGTTTCTAGTGCCGACATCATGCCGCTGCGTGAACCCGGGTTAGCCTTATTCCATCGACAGGTACCTGTGTACAGGGCTGCTGTTAGAAACCACGGGGCACCATACAGCCAACCTGACAGGGCCCCCCAAACTACAGGGTCCCATACAGCAAACCTGAGAAGCCTCCCCCACCCCATTCCCACAAAAAAACACCATTAACTATGCTTCAATTATGAATGAACACAGTGATTGATTGGTACCAATCACTTATTGTGTTCAATCAGGAAAGGCAGGGGCTGGTAAATGTAACATATTTACCAGACCCTTCCCCCATCTCTCCTATTGTATGCAGCCAATGAGAATGAGAGGAGGGAAGCCGGCAACATTACATTACAGGTGGGGGCAGCAGGGGGAAATGTATGGTGTACAGGGAGGGTGATGGGTGCACCAGGGTGGGGCAATTACTGTAACTGTTTCTTTGTATGGCCTTCTGCAGCAGCTAAAAGCTGGCTTCTTCCCTCTCCCTCCAACTTGCTTTCAGCTGCTGCAGAGAGAGCCATACAGGGGATCGGTTCCAGTAACTGCTCCCCGCTGTGCTGATCACTCTCCCTGCCCACATCCGATTCACCCAGCTGCCTGGGCCCCTCTGCTGGCCTGGGCCCCGTACAGGAGGACTGGTGGTACCCCCAAATCCATGGCCCTGCCTGTGGATACAGCTGCTGGACAACAACATTTACGCATTGGGCTTTTGTAACGACACATGGGCACCCATGCTGTTGTAATGGCAGCCATCAGTTCTGGAGAGTTTTGAATTCACAGGGAGGTCATGGAGTTCCTCTGAATTCTTTACAGGAAGAAGGATCACAGTTCTTATGGTGGTGGATTGATCTTTTCAGTTTTTCTCACTTTATATTATGTGGACAGTTTTTTCACTTTGTGTTTATATTTTTTAAACTTTTTGGATCACATTTCTGTTTATGCATAATCATCTTAGTGGCGCTGCACATTTTGATTTTTACACATTGTTATAGGTTTGTTATACTACCTGTTAGTGTGAGCTGCCTTATATTATTTGACACAGCATGGATATATTTTTTGATTCTGTTTGTATTTTATCAATATGCCACAGCTTGCGGAACCCCTAGTAAACTTTAGAGGAACCCTAGTGTTCCATGGAACCATGCATGAGAAAGGTGAACCTAAAAGGGTCAATAGATTATGATAGGCAAAGCTCTAAACTAGATATAACTGCCTTGTTTTGACCACATTCAGTTACCACTCCCTGTTATCATTTGCGGTCGCTCTGTAATTTTTACTTCTCAATATCAGAATGACATTGGTCAGTATATAACTAAATCAGAATAAAAGGGGAAATCAAATAAAGCAAACTAATAAAACTAAAACAAATATTATATAATGTACCTTGTCTATCCACAGTATTCAAAT